GTTAAAGATGCTTTCTTGAGCTATTTCAATGCTACTATTCCGACTTTGGTTGAAAATATTTATGAACAAATTATCGTACTTTGATTATTTCTACCAGAGAAGCGACCAAATGTAAGAGCATGATTTTGCAAGATTTGCTTCTATACTGTCAACCTGTTGATTCTCAAAATTAAATATTGCTTGGATATACGGTATACGTTCTACTTCATAAGCAACTTTGGTTTGACCACATGTATATGATAACCTTTTATCAAAACATTTGGATTGGAAATTAGGTTTCACGAGACGATTAAGTCATAATTTACATAACCCGAAAAGATATGAATCAACAGGTTCTCAGCAGTACACTAAAACGCTCGATACTCAATTTTCTTTATTCCTGCAACAGTATAACCAGATATTGAACATACAAGACTTGATAAGGGGAACAGATGAGGAAATAAGCAGGGAGCAAGTTGTGACGGTACGACCTATTAATGAGGACTACGAGGCAAGGAGATACCTAACAATTTTTATCCAACAGTTCAACTGCTTATAGACATTAGCCAATACAAAAAGAATCTTATCTGGAACACACACTCGAGGGCTGGCCTCTTAAACATGTTCAGGCAACAAATTTGTGACGATTATCGACACAGATAACCAATTAAGTTTGATGCACAAAATAGAGCGAGACTTTTTTGACAATTCGTCTGGTCAACTGAACCGTTTGAGAAGTATTGCTAGAACATAGCTAGGTGACAGACGGAGAAAATCTGCATGCTGTATTGGCTGCAGCATGAATTTAAAACCATAAATTATAATGTATATTGATCAAGAAGAAATATATTGAGAATATCATAGGAAATAACCACTTGAGTCTATGTTCCATGTTTAGGAAGCATCTGGTATGCATTTGATAGGACTCTTCATATAGCTAACGGGTGATTTGAGGTATAGGATTTGATTTTCAAAAAAAACACAAAAAACTTGAAAAAACGATTGAATCTTTATTTGAGTCGATAGAACGGTCGATATAATTCAATGTTTAAAGATTATTTCATGTAAATGTTGGCCGCGGCTCCGCTTTAGATGGCCCATGCGCAAGGTCCAATTTTGGCACACTCTCTCCAACATATCGGCCGGTATCTCAAGAATAAATGCTTCAATACTGGCTTCCAGTGCGTCAATCGTTGCTGGTTTATCCCTGTAAACACTAGCCTTAACATGGCCCCACAAGAAATAGTCCAACGGCGTTAAATCACACGATCTAGGCGGCCAACTGACGGGTCCCAAACGTGAGATAAACTGTTCACCGAACTCGCCTCTCAATAGGGTCATTGTTTCGTGTGCGGTGTGGCATGTGGCACCGTCTTGTTGAAACCACATGTCAGCCAAGTCCAGCTTTTCCATTTTGGGCAAAAAAAAGTTTCTTATCATCGCACGGTAGCGCTCGCCATTCACAGTTACGTTCCGGCCATTGTCGTCTTTGATGCCACCGGCCCATAATCCACACCAAACAGTGATTTTTTCGGGATGCATTGGTAGCTCTTGCAATGCTTCTGGCTGGTCTTCACTCCAGATGCGGCAATTTTGCTTGTTAATGTACCCATTCAACCAGAAATGAGCTTCGTCGCTGAACACAATTTTTCGATAAACATGTGGATCTTCCTCCAACTTTGCCAGCGCCCATTCACCAAATTGGAAACGTTGGGGGAGGTCGTGTGGCTTCAATTCTTGCACCAGCTGTATCTTATAAGGTTTTACACCCAAATCCTGTCGCAAAATTTTCCACGTACTGGAGTAACAGAGGCCCAATTGCTGCGAACGGCGGCGAATCGACATTTCACGGTCATCACTAACACTGGCGGATACAGCCGCAATATTTTCTTCAGTCCTCACTCTACGTCTGCGTGTTGGTGGTTTAATGTCCAATAATGTAAACTGGGTTCGAAATTTAGTCACAAGCTTCCGAATAGCTCCCTCAGTAGGCCGACCAAATTGCCCATAAATTGGAAGCAGTGCTCGATGCACTCTCTTAACCGAGCATGAATTTTGATAGTAAAATTCAATAATTTGCAAGCGTTGTTCGTTCGTAAGTCGATTCAGGGTTAAATTATAGACCAAACTGAACAAGTTTGAGAATGACACAAGACACGATTCACTCGTCATCTGTCAAAAACAGTGTTGCCAAAAAGATACTAGCAAAAAAATCACCCATTAATATGTGATCGCTGCATTTTAAGAATTAAATGGTTTTTGGGAAATTTGATTCAAATAATTAATTCTGTAGGGGTTTAGAAGAATCGGACAAATTAGCAGAGAGATTTGAAATGTTGAAATTTATGGCAGTATTGAGATCTCTCACTTGTTCATGTTATCTAAATTAGTCATAAAAAGGGAGCGTCTTCATTCTGAATACGCGAAGAAATAGTAACGATGATCGTAAACGAGATCGTGCCAATACGTGGAAGAGTAAGATACCTTGGAGTTGAGCTTAACAAGAGGCTGTCAGCAAGATCTCACATCAATGTTCGCCTACGTAAAGCTAAAGCAGCACTTGCGATGGTGTACCCCATAATTGCATGGAAATCAAATGTCGACATTGATTTAAATGTGCGGGTAATTGATGCGTGCATTGTCCCCACTTTGGATTATGGCCCTGTGCAACTTTTACCAAGGATGGAATACATTCTAGGTCTGCTTGAAAAAAGCCCATAAGGTTGCAGGGAGGTTTTTGAGTTGCCTTCCATCGAAACAACCTTGGGACATGCTCGGCATTGATCCCTACCATATCAGGGCAGCAAATTAGCAACAGAAAATGCTAGTGAAGCTTACCTAACAACCAACCAAAGGTCTACTTTATCCTTCAGCAGTCAGGGTATCATAGAAGAGAACTGAAGGTGAATTTCTCCGGCATCAGCATCCCCCCCCCCTTCATCCACAAAGGAGGCTTTATAAATTCACGCGGGCAGTGCACATCTGATGGTAGCGGCGCTTAGGTCAAAGCCCCCAGCGCAGGACCCCCAAGAAAGAGTCCGTCCATAAAAGTCGAGAACCGACAGTTGGAAGAAACGTCCACCACGTGCTTCCGCGACGCGTGCGCGATCGAGTCAAATTTCGATAAAAAGGAGCAAAATTGGAGAGGGGGGTTACCTCGTTCGGCAGCACACACTCGGGGAATGCGCAGCGGCCTGAACCACGCAGCGCCACGCCAGGCCTTCGGGCGGGAGAGGAGGGTGGAGCAGATTGCTCTTCCCCCCACTCCTCAAGGGTTTGAGGTTGCCTGGAACAGGGGTGGTGGAGATACCGCACAGGGTAGGAGGGTGTGTGCATCTGATGGTAGCTGACTTACGACCATCGGATGCTCGCACAAATACAATGAGATCGTTCCTGGCACAATTAATATTACTCTCTTTCGGAGACCCCAATGAAAACTGACTCAGGCAAAGAGGCAGACGGACATCATGCTGACGGCCTCGAGTCGCTATGTAATGTAAACTGTTTAAAAAAATAAAATTAATTTGTAATATTAAGTACGGAAGTTAAATAACTTTTGATTCATTGATGAATATTATCCCATTTATCGTGACACGGCGTATCATAAATAAGGCATTTTTGTGATGAAGCTATAAAAATCTCAGCTTTTAAGGAGTATTTCAATTAAAAAAATAAGCATCAGTTATGAGTATATCGCCTCCGGTAGTCCATAGCGTGGTTATACAGATGTTCCAAAAGGCATAAGACTGAATATTGAACAGATAGTATCGTTTTTCTATTGACTTAGATGTGGTGTTAAGATTTTATGATAAGCGTAGCTTCTAGCTGCTCTTACCGATGGTTCACAGTAACAGTATTAATATGAATTTCCAATTAAATCTTTCAAAAAAGAGAATGCCTTCTTGGACCACCTTGTATGTGCGTGTCGTAGAATGTGTTCTAATACAATTTCAATGTGCATATTAGTAAAGAAAAAATCGCAACACAGAACTGTTGGATAAACTCACACACACATGGTTCAATAATGATTCTTGTAGACGAAAAATATAAAAAATAGGCTACAGCCCAGATGATAGTATAGTTGTAGTCACCGTTTTTGGCCGTTACGTCATCAACACCATATGAAATAAATAAACAGAACGGAACACTGTACAGACTAATCTTCACCACATCTGCTACTCGCTCCAGTACGCATGAAGTGGGTAACATGGGACCGCTATTTTCATTCTCTTCCTGGAAATACTTAAATTTAGCATAAGCTGTCGGCCTTCTTTATCGATAGTATTTCCGGGAATTGTACACTTTTATATTGAAGATTGATAATAGGACAGCCCAAATTGCACGCTGATGTCAAATATGATTGAAAGGCACTCATATGTAACGACAAAGTTTTCGAGACTGAGACAAACAACTGAAAAACGTATGTCTTTGAGCTTAACGAACAAACGTTCACGCACAGGAGTAGGTTGCGTGTGTTTGGATGAGGGAGATGGAGGTATGTAAAGAGATACTGGTAGTCTTTGAGCCGCCAAGAACGATGACGACAACTATATCTAAATATTAAAAATTATTAACTCTATTTTCTGGTCAACCGAGGCTCCATTCATTTCAGTCGCTTGAAGACCTCAACATGATATTCACCTATCTCATTCATGAGATATTTAATATTTTAAGACATGTCTCATAACACAGCAAAACATCTGAACTAGTATCAATACGATTTTATAGATTGTGGCTTTTGTTCCTTAGACATTGTGCAAGATGCTAATGGATTCAAAATCTGTAACTATTTCATTATTCACCTAAAAGAACCAAGCACTCTGATGATCTACAAGTCATTATCGAACTTGTGACTAATACACTGACTAATGACTAGACACACCGCAATACTAATTCTGCTCTAATTTTTAACAACGGATAGCTTGTTTTGCACCCGAATTTCCTGCTTTCACGTTCCTCGGGCTCAATCTTTTACTTGCCTAGGTTTTAACAGCAACAGGTGATCTCAAGAGGAGGAATAAGTCGATGAAAAATAGCTTGATGACGGTAATCATCGATAACATAAATACATATAATAATATGAAACAGTAATTCTGGGAGTGATGACGACGTCGAAATAACAAAACAGGTAGTATGAACATGAGGTTAAGGTACGTATCCACCAGTGCTCGCGAGAGGGTGGCGACGGCTTTGTCAGAGAACATTCGTGACAAGCAAGTACGAGCAAAATTTATTGTAGGGAGATTTTGTTGAGGAAATCCTACTAGGTTGGCGATAGTAAATTTTTTATGGGATTGTTAAATTATTGCTTCCTAATAATAAGTTCAAATTGGCGTCAGGATAGGGCTGAAGCATTTGCCGCCATTTGATTTTTTGTCACAGGTCAATCGCCAGCTGTTAACGCTGTCTACTCAGTCATTTGACTCGTTCGCCAGTGGATATGTACCTTTAGACTACGAATCGCATTTAACCAACCCAGCTTCGAGTTTTAACTATGTGTTGGAAGAGCTTACTTACTTGAAGGTTCAATTTAATGCATGCGATTAACTTTGATTCTGGGAATTATTGACAAAAAATGGTTTGAAGACAATTTCGTACCTTTGGAAAATGGGCTCGTGGTAACGTCAAAAATGAAATATTTGAAGCTTTTGTTATGGAACCGAATCAAACTTCTTTCCGTTCCTGAATTGCCTTGTTATTGTGTATGGCTATAAATTTACACTTTGCTCTCATTTGAAAAACATACTACGTCCTGCATATTTAGAAAAGCTTCAAAATAACTTTAGGGTAAAGTAAACAAATATTATAGCTGCTATAATTGAGAGTATGTATTTAAATTGAACCACCATATTCGCTTATATTGAAAGGATCAACATAATATGAAAATTAAAACTATCACTCAGTTCCTCTTCCATATTTATAGGTGGAAATGACAACTCGATCAACGGCTCCAACTCCAGCAAGTACTTCAACTACCACCACCACAAAAGCTTCAACGACAGCTACTACAGCTGTACCTAAGGTACTTTATTATTCGGCATTTATTATGAATGAATCTTATATACTAAGTGACATATAAATCCGAACAGCCAGTTTAAATGGTTTTATTTTAATAAAAAAGTTGGTGAATGTATTTATCTTACTGTAAATAACAAGTGAAAAAATTTTCAGCCTTATCAGTTGGACATTCCGATTTTTATACTGCTTTTTTTTAATTCACTAACGCTCTAAAAATGAATATTTCAGCCGCAATAAAGAATCAACGTTGGCGGATTTTGGTTCTTGACATCCTTTACGATCGGTTACGATGCCTAGAGTACGGAGACCTGTACGATTTCGTCAACTTAGTGAGTTTGATAGGGGCCGTATAGTGGGACTTCGGGAAGCTGGACTTTCTTTTCGGGCAATTGCAGTTGGAGTGCAAAGAAGTGTAGACACTGTGGTTAGGTGTTGTCAGACATGGCTTCGAGAAGGCCGTACGCAAAGAGCAAGGGGCACTGGACGCCGCCGTAGAACAACAGACCGTGAAGATCGCCGCCTAAGATTATTGGCCTTAAGGAACCGTTTCTCCACTACCAGGTCCATTGCAATGAATGGTTTGCAGAACACGGAAGACCTATTGGCATGCGAAGTGTTTACCGATGAATGAGAAGTTTTGGCTTGTTTTCATACCGGCCACAGTGGGTCCTCCCTTTAACTCGAGAACACCGACGTAATCGCCTTGAGTGGTGCAGACAACGGTCACTCTGGGATCAGAAATGGAACAGTATTGTCTTTAGTGACGAGCCTCGATTTTGTTTAGGCATGCACGATGGTCGTGCCAGGGTTAGAAGGCGACGTGGTGAAAGGAGGAATCCACAGTTTTTTGTTGAAAGACATGTTCATCACACTGTTGGAGTTATAGTTTGGGGTGCTATAGCTTATGGTTCCAGGTCACCTTTAATCTTCATCAGAGGTAACATGAACGCGCAGCGTTATATCCACGAAGTTGTAGAACCCCATCTTTTACCCTATCTTGACACCCTGGTAGATCCAACTTTCCAACAAGATAATGCCCGACCACATGTTGCAAGAGTCACAATAGACTTCTTTCAACATAATGATGTCACATTGTTACCATGGCCACTAAGATCTCCCGACTTATCCCCAATTGAGCACGTGTGGGATATGATGGGTAGGAGATTGCTCAATTTACAACGTCCTCCTCAGACTCTAGAAGCACTTCGAGAGGAGTTGGTGGTTGCCTGGAATGAGATACCACAGGAGGACATTGACGACCTGATCAGAGGCATGCCTAGGCGCGTTGGAGAATGCGTAGCACATCAGGGTGCATCCACACATTATTAAAGGTCAAAGGGCTTTAAAGCAGTGCAATCATTTTGAAATTTTTATCATTTACTCATTATGCTTCATTAAGTACTTATACAAAATTTTATTAAAATAAAACCATTTAAACTGGGTGTTGGGATTTATATTTCACTTAGTATATGAAACCTTGACAGAAAACAACTTATTCTAATGCTGCCTGATGGCTCATTTCGGTTCGATCTTGAGTTACAAGGCCATATGAATTTCGAGTCTATTTTTTTATATACTTTTGTAGATCAAATCCACATTACGAAATAGGATGAATGCTGTTAAAAGCTTAATGATAAGGAAATGAAACAGACTTTTAGAACAAGCAGTCTATAAGTTAATTGTGTCGTACAAAGTTCGACTGTACGGTCTTAAGTTATTCAAGGTGTTTCAAGTTTACCTATCCTAGAAATATGGCTCAAAATGACGTCATCGACAGAGACCGCGATTTAGGCCCACATCTATCTTTTAATTATTACACAATAATTTCAGGTACCACCAACAAAACCGGTGGGGCCACAGACGCCGTTTGTGGAAGAAATAATCACGGTACCGAGCATATCTGTCGATGCACCTAAAAGTACAACGACATCGGTACCTAACACCATGTCGACATTGACGACAGAAGCGGCAACTACAATGACACCGACTACTGAAGCATCGACTACTGCAAAGCCGACAACAACAACGTCGAAACCAAAAACTACGACGAAGATTTCAACCGTTAGGTAAAATACAGATTCTATGGAATTCCACTAAAGGACCCCAAAGGAAGTTTCTGGGGAATAGCTCTAGACTATTTTTTAAATATCGTACGATGTAAGTCTCTACGAGAGCGTCGCCAGGGGCACGGGGCGGGCAGTTGCCCCTCTAAAGACCCTGAAAAAAGTGAAATGTAGATCAATAAAATTCATAAGTACACTCACTTAACGTGTTTGATCGATCATTCCCGCACGTCGAAACATGCACGAATTCACTATTTCCATTCTTAATATTCAAACTATAAGTTATAATAAATATAACAACATATATAGTTTAATTTAAGTTTTATTTACCGTACAGCCAACAGCTCGTGAAAATACACATTGGACTATATACGTACTATTCTTATCACAATCACCATACTACACGTCTAAAATTTGATGTGCTATTGACCTTACCTACAGTTTGTACATTTCTCATTCATCGTATGAACTTGCCCCCTGGGCCATTGACTGGCGACGCCCTTGAGCCTCAACACGTAAAATAAAACCATCCATAAGACCAAAGTTTTTCCACCAGTGGTTTCCAATTTGGCCAATCTGTATCTTAATAACATTTGCCACGGAGAGATAATGCATTTTTACTTCTGATAAATTTCAAATATGTAGTATGTGTAGTTCACCCCTATTGCTCCGAGTCAAAAACTCTTTCAAAAGCTTCAGGATTATACTACATCGTGCATGTTTTAGACTAGTGACCTCGATATCAAAGTGGCTTTCTTACACATTTGGATAAACCTACATACTTTTCAAGTAGTTTCTGAGATAAAATAATTATGTATTTTGTATAAAAGTATGAATGTATGGCCACCACTATCTCCACCAGCAGAGAGCCGAAAATTTTGGAGTACTCCAAAACACAATATCCATTGAAATAATACCTTATGTATTTTCACATTTTTTAATGTCAATATTTCTATGTTGCTTTAGATGCCTAGTGTCTTTGTTTAACGAAATTAGGAAATCTGATTAAAAAAACAATTTTTTACTCAATTAATGCTGTAGAAATACGGGATGAAGAATTGACAATGTTTTTAGAAGACTCGATAAGCTGTAAAAGTATTTTTAGGTCTATCCAAGTAGGCAATAAGGAAATATTAATACCTTTAAAACACCAACTTTGATGTATAGCCTCAGTATGGAGCTGTATTCCCATAGGGACAGCGTAGGAGAATACTTCACAGTTTCTAAAAAGGTGTGTGTCTCGGAGCAGTACTCGGGGCATGCAAGTTTGTGCCACCATGTGACGGAATTGCAATGTAGGTGAAACAACTAGTAATGATGTTGACCAAAACATAATTAAATATCAAACAGCTATTACAGGTTATGTACCGAACCTACAATACGTTGTGATATGATACGAACTCTCCAACTAAGTGCCTCAGTATTTTGGAAACTACTCGTAGAAAAGATTTGTTCCACGCTTAGAGATCTACAATACATTGAATTTAAGAAAAGGCGAAATTTATTATACTTAGGGTTTCTGCGGGTAGTATTGATAAATCACATTATAATATGTTGTACTTGAATGGCTTTTCTTCTGAAAAAAGGTTTATATCAACAACTCCAAGATATACGTCGACACCAACTAGAGTACGTCCAACAACAGCTGAGCCAACGTTCTTCCCAACGTTCTTGACCACTTTCTTCCCGAACCTGTTCACTCCAGATCCAACAACTGCTCCAAAATATACTACCAAAGCCACGGAGGGTTTGTCTTTTTCAGCCTCCACTCCAATGCCATCAACGGTAAGAAAAAACATATTTATTATATCTATTAATATAATATTTATAAAAATAATCATCTATATATATATGTGAGCAGTAGTCATTGCCAAAGCCAACGACCAGTTGGGCACAAAATACAATTAATTGTTAATTGGGAAATTGGCAAATTTTTAGGCTTAAGTTGACTCTTCTGACGATAAAATCAAGCTTTCGGCATTCTCTATGGAGCCTTCATCAGGATTCTGAAAACACAATTGTGATGCTAGCAAAGAAAACAGGACGGATTTAAATTGTCAAACAACTTACTCGTCGTTGAGGTTGCAGCCACAAGGTGTTTCAAAACGAACGTAGAGAAGATAGAACTTGTAATAAGTATAAAAAAAAGGACGGAGACATTGGGCTCGTTGATAAGGACAGATACCTACGTTACATGTTAAAAATATCAATACACCCGAACATATTAAACATTATTAAACCTCTAACCTCCTACTTCCGCTACACGTGGAGAGGGAGACGGCATGGAAAGATAATGCGTCGACAGATGACAAGTGATTGACGCGACGGGCCGTGGAACTGTAAACCTCATTGTCCAAATTTGGGTATGAAGCATACGAGGGACGCTCGGTAAACGTCCACCCAAATTACTAAAATGCTGAATTAATTTGTTTTGGAAAATGTATAGTTCGTATGAGTGTACGAATGTGAGATAGTGATACAACCTTGAGAAGATGGGTTATGTAAATTTATATTAAAGACTGTGAGTGAGAAATTTCAATTACCAGGATAGCAATTGGAAATGTATTCTAATTTTGTGACGATGTTGGTTCGATTTGGATATGTAGCCGTTCTAGCTTTTCGCAATTCAACATGTAGGAATAAATGACACTGATATATATAATATATAACAATAATAATAATATAACCATTATTTTTATCGGGCGGGCAATCAGCAAACGGTGTTCTGCCATGCCAACCAGAACCTCTTGTATACAGTGTTAAAAAATACATATATAATCACAGCATTACCAATAAAAAATGAGAACTCAGCATGAGGTGATATAAGATGGAGTGAAATTAGTTTAAACACATCGAAAAGATGGTTAACACATACGTAGATAAAACATAAAAGTCACAAACAAAACACTCACATAGTCACATTCATTTAAAGTCAAATACAGTCAAACAAAATAAGTGGCTAGTATCAGATCATTGATTCCGAATTTGAATGCTCTTAAAGAGACTTGATTTTATGGATGTACGAGCCCCTTCCCACTTCAGTTGGCCCACTTCTAGATTTGTACCAAAATATACCTTTATAAACTAAACATGACGAAACTATTCACTTCTAAAACAATTTATTTTCTCAAAAACATTTTAGATACACTCTAGTCGTAAAAAATACATATTTCAAATCACTTAGACCTATAACTAATCTGAACAAATAAACAATGTGCGAATAAATGCGCGACGTTAACAAAGCAACAATTGTAAGATTACCATTGGGTAACATCACCTTTATTTTATATTACGGCTGAAATTGTTTGGGGCATAGTGTTAACCAAGTTTTGGCAAAAATTTGGTGTGAAACAATCCCATATTTCTTGAAGCTTTTGTCTCAGTTCGGTGATTGTACGAGCAGGATGTTGTCGAATAACCTTTCAATAGGTGACGGATCTGGACTGCTAGAAACCCATTTCAAAAGTGGTACATTATTTTCTTCCATCGATTTTATAGCCTTTTTTGAGGTATGGCACGCTGCACCATCTTGCTGAAACACAAAATCTTGTCAAACATTCTTCCATCACTGGTAAAAGCGATTCTTCTAAAATTGCCACATATTTGTTTGTATCCACATTTCCATCAATAAAATGAAGTCTTCCTAATCCTTTTGATGACATACTGCCCCAAACCATAACGGATGCTGGAAATTTCACTTTTCTCTTCAGACAGTCAACATGGAATGCTTAATTTTTTTGCGAATAACTCTACTGCGACTGTCACCAACACAAACTTCGAATCGGGCCCCATCACTCCATTGTATTGCACACCATTGTTGACGTGTCTATTGTCTATGTTCTTTAGCCCATCTAAGCCGATTTTTCTTTTGCAGTGGAGTTTTTTGGTCTATAAACAAGTTGTGCAACTTTAGGGTTTTTACTTCACTTTTTTTATAAGAAAACTTACCTTGCAAGTGCTAAATCCCAGTTTGTGGGCCTCTCTATGAGTTGTGGACCTCGAAATTCTACTTCCAACAGCGTTACTCCACAAAGCACTTAATTGTAAATAATTGGCACGCCTGCTTTTCACAATTATTCTTCTTAATGCTCTTCGGTCGGCATTTGTGATATTACTTTTTTTCACATATCGTGGCTTAATATTGACTGAACCAGTTACGTTATATCTTCTAACAATATTTCTGACACTGTACCGCGATAAGTCTAACAAAGTTGCAATTTCTGAGTTTGATTTCCCAGAATTAAAAAAATTAATTATCAGTAACCGAATTTTCTCACTAATAACCTTTCCTCTACTCATTTTGAAAACCTTAACTACCCAAAACTATTTTAAACGTATTCTGACAGCTGTGATCAATAAAAACAATTGTCATGGCTTTTATTTTTCACAGCCACCTATGCGTTATAGACTTATTTTGCATTTAAATGAAAATAGGTTGATATGCTGTAATTGCAACATGTGTTATTTTTATGCTGCAAATTTGATTATTGAGTGATAAAATTAGTGTTTTCTACTATATATTATCAAAGTATTCACTGTTAATATTTTAAACCTATAACACCCTGCTACATTTTTATTATTTGTGTTTGAGAAGAAAAAACTAAGATTTCAATAGTTGTGCCAACTGAAGTGGGAAGGGACTCGTATGTTTTGTAAGTTATGTGCTAGATACGAGAAAGAGCTTTTGTTTTGTGTTTGGGAATATCCAGAGAGTAACCTACAAATCTCAAATTAATATAATGGATGTCAGTTCTCAAATATAGCTTTTCATGCAAGTAATCTTGTTGTTTCCTTAGTAACGCCGAATGAACCAAACAGATCCGGTGATAAGTCCATATTTATCTCATCTAAGCTAAAGAATGAGATGTTTTTTCGAATCTACTTAGACCATGGATAAACCTAACGCAACAATTTTGCACCTTTTGTATCCGTTTGAGTCAAACAAGAGCATACACAGTCTTTAGGTTTTCAGTTAGCAGCTGCTGAAGAACATCAAACATTCTTGATACTCCTTGAATTGTCTCTACCTGTCTCTACCTGTTTTGTAACTGGTTCTACAGGCAGCTGCTCCTCCGCGCAGACGAACCACCTCCAGAACCACAACAGAACCAGCGAAGAGACGCAGGGCATCAACCACCACCACCACCACCACCACAACTACAACCACGACCACTACTCCCCCTTCCACAACCACAACAACAGAAAAAGTGGTTCAAGTGCAGTCATCCACAAAACGAAGTGTGGATTTGACAGACTTGAACACCATTGCTGTAACCGCCACGCCCACGAAAAAGAAGCTTACGCCTGAGCAAAAGAGGAATTTAGAGACTTTGATGCAGCTTGAGAAGGAACAGGCGGCTTTGTTGCAGCAATTGTCTTTCCTTACCACTTTGGTAAGTACGAGTATTTATATATTCATCTTTGTTATTGTCTCATGGAGTTTTGTTCTCTATAAGTCGTCCGATCATGGTCCCGACTGACAAAACCGAAAGCTATACTTGTCAGAATATACAGAAACTAGCATAGCTCGAAGTACAACAGGGTCTAGAAAATTATTCTTCTAATGACCCTTTTTCATTAAATTTTCTTGCAGTTAATTGGATTAGGGTCTAAACAAACGAAGTTTCTTGTTATAAAGTTGCCAACTTCTCTGAAATATTTATTTCCGTCTTCAGGGCTCTATAAAACAAATGTTTTAAAATACTAACTTTATATATACAGGGTGGTGCATCGAAAACGAGACAGACACATTTACTGGCAACTCAGTTTTTTTTCCGGAAAAACGCTCAGACCCGTCGATTTTGTTTTCGAGGGGGACACAAGTTTGGCAAAAAATCACGTTAGCACGTGCACCCCCCTAATCGGGGGTGACACCACCCCCAAAATCTTAAATGGAAAAGGGGGTCGCATGATACCTTATTTTAAAGGTCTTTCAATTCACTTTATAGTGATGTAAAATACATGAGCTTCAGTTCAGTAGTTTTGAAGATTTAATGATTTAAAGCTTAAAGTAGACTTTAATAGGTACATCAGACTAGTTTGTACTACTTTCAGAAGAAATGTGACTAAAAGAATTTACTTAATAAGTAAATGCTTTTCTTCACTACGCCCATGGTTTGTTTATCATTTTGCTGTTGAAAATAGCTATTGGAGCTATCTCGTACTTATTTTAAATAGGAATAGGAAACTTTGTTGCTAAAATAACATGTAACGCTTTATTACATAAATTAACCATGGTATATTCCACAGCAGAAAGAATTGAAATTATCGAAATATTTTTCGGAAGTAATCAGTGCGCCAATAAAAAGCGCAACATTGAAAATCCCATAAGGAACGAAGCAATAGAAGTGGGGGTTTTAGGGCAAGTTTATGTAGATCCTACGTTAAGTACCCGCAAATTGGAGACTGTGTGTGGTGTTAGACTACGTACTGTCCAACGGATTCTAAAGGCCCATAGTTTTCATCCGTATAAAATTCACCTGGTACAAGAACTTAATGAAGACGATTTTGATCGGCGATTACAATTTTGTGGAGATATGAGTGGACGAATTATAAACGATGAACATTTTCTATTCAACACTTGCTTTTCCGACCAATGTCCCTTTTTCTTAAATGGCGTAGTAAATCGTCATAACTGCCGATATTGGTCCGATTCTAATCCCAGAATTTATCATGAGGTTCATACACAGCAGCCACAAAAGTTAAATGTTTGGGCTGGTATTTTTGGCGATCATTTAGTTGGTCCTTTTTTCTTACCTAGAAATTTGACCGGTGAAATGTATTTGGAATTACTGGAAGACGCCATAGATCCTGCATTAACAGCCATAATTGAAAATCAGAATGATCGGCGGTACATTGCGAATAGGTCTGAGCGTTTTTCAAAAAAAAAAACTGAGCTGCCAGTAAATGCGTCTGTTTCTTTTTCGATGCGCCACCCTGTATATATATATCCTTTAATTTCTTTGAGTAGAAAGCAAAGTATTGCAAAAGTACACTCTTATAACTTTAACTCTCAAGCTTTCGAAGATCTATGTATTCATCGTCTGAAGCTGGAAACAATTATTGACAATAGCAACAAATAACAATTAAAAGAAAAATGTTTACTTACTAAGTCGTCGAGATTGTTGCTGAAACTGTTTTTAAACAACATTGAAAGAACACATAGTCGACGAATAAAAAACTGGAGTGATGAGGTTCCATTAGTACGGAATTATTTTATATTTATTATAATGGCAAATCATTTTGAAAGTTTTTTTAATTAAACGTTGATTGATTTTGGAAGAAATTTGGAGATTTTAAAACTATCAACTATTGAATTCACCATTTTACTTCGAAACTGTGGTGGTCAAAAAATCATCCAACGCTATGCATATCTTAGAGATCATTTAGACTGCAACTGATCAATATAAAAAACGAAAGATATTACAACGGACAGCTAGACACACGTTGAAGGAAAGAAATAGTTTCTAGATAGTAAAAATCTGTCCATTTTCTTGATATCTTTGATATTTTGCCTGCTGGTGGTTATTCTGTCTTCACGAAATCAATGATGTTATAGTACATAGATAATGCTTAAGTCTGCTTTGTCTGTTCTCTTGTTTACTGTATTACTCTGCTTTTTGATTTTTAACCTTACCTGGGAAACCCCTCGCAAGAATCAAAATTAAACACATGACATTTTAAAAACATGTGTTGGACTAGTTGTGCGTGTTTCCCTGTTTTATGTGAACATTCTTACAATCTCTTTTGTGCTTTCATATTCTGATATAACTTGCCAAAAACACGTAACTCTGTTTTTACTGTTTTGATCACTCATCAGTAATTTGAATTTCTCTTTATTAATTATAGAGTACCGGCTAGGCTAAACCCTTTTCAATGATTTTCTTTTGGCGAATTTCATAATTTATTGATCTATTGAGCTTGACACTACCTAATCCTGGAAGTATGATTTCACGCATTACATATTTCTTTCTTAGCGACTCAGTATTGTGTTGAACTCTTTCGGATACTGCAGTACTCTTGGAGGTTATGGTGTATCGGTCCTTCGTTTGAATTGCAGATTTTGAGATATTAGGCCCCAATCACCAGTTTATGTACCTACCTTACGTTTAGTGGCTTATTTTGGTTTGGGTGCTACTCTCGCTATTTTTATGGGATTTGAACCTCTTCAGCGAAGGCAGGCATGGAGGAAAACCACCATCGGCATTCTAGCTGTCTTGTAGCTGTTTTGTAGCGAGTTTTTTGACACTTTTCTTACATACCGAATTTGCAAGTACAGTATTCTGGCTTCAGCAGTATTATTGGTGGTGGGGATATTATTTTACAACTTTATAACTGTTTCTCCAGACCCCAAGTCCAATCAATTGCAAGAAATTTATGCAAAAGGTTCTGTCAAGAACTATGGGGGTTGGGAACTTCAGATATTGATCAGAATAATTCTCGATTTGTCATGCCATACAAGAGTTGGACACATTACCGATCGTTTACTAGAGGCCCCCTTACTATCGGGGCCATCTAGGGGCCCGTGGGCACTTGGGAGTACGGAATCTGCTGCAGAAGCGACCCCATTGAAGAGCAAAATCCAGAGACTTCATTTGGTTTTTGGGTTAACACGGAATAACTTTGAAGACTCGTTGCCTTTCCTTGTCTTACCACTTGGGACTTACAGAGCAAATGTCAAATATCTTATCGAAAATGGTCGCTTTTTCGATCAGAGGTCTTCTTGCAACAATCTTTAACTTCAAAGCTTCCTTGATTCACTGTTTCCTCAAGGAACACATACACGGATTATTATTGGTTTCCATATTAGAGTTTTTGAGAAATAGTCAAATAAGAAAGTTTTGGCATTTACGAACTACTATCCTAGGCAAAAGAAAGGCGATCTGAAAAAGCTGAAATCATCCCTGAGATAACTGACAATTCTCCAGTGTAGATGAAGATTTCTTAAAAATATAAAGATGCCTTAGGTGAAGGAGCGGCTACGCATTCAATTTACTCGTCTTTGAATGGGCATCGGTGAAAATTTCAAAGATCAAGTACCTCAGATATTGTTTACAATTGAAAAACTATGAAGTGATGATGCCTAATAAATCTGATGTTAAGAAAATACTACATTTTATGACTATCACAGAGATATGGAGTATAATTAATTCTTTATTAAATAATATTAATAAAAGCCTCTCTGAAGATAGGTTTCAACATTTCTTGATTTCATTTCATCTATTCTAATTTTCAGAACTTCGGTGGTAACAACAGGGGAGCTGCTTCAGCCTTGTCAAACCCCAATCTAGTAAATAGGGTAAGTTTTTTCATTGTTGGCCGAATAGATAACATGTTCATTCATCCAACGTAAAATGTTTCTTCCTTTACACATACCCATTTAACTGAGGTTTAATGATTCTAGAAGATTTTTCAGACACCTACTACATTTTACAGATTAAAAAAGAAAGGGGTTGGCTTGCTAGCCTTAACGTCACTGTGACCCAAGTGGATCTACTGTGAACCCCAGATACACTTTCTAAAGCACTGGGCCAAGCCTCATTCTTTGAATCTATAGCCTTGACACAAGGCCTTTCATGTAGCTTTCCGCTGTTAGATTTGGGGTTCCTACTATCCGGAGATTCACTGAGATTTCCTCATGCTCCCTGCAGGAACGGCATGTGGCCTTTTCTGACAGACCCAAGAGCTTACTTCAGCCTGAGATATTGTCTCGATATCACCTAGACTCATAGAGACCTCAGTTTTTGGCCTTATACCTAATTTAGAAATCAATTATGGAATCGAAATACAGCATCCAAAAAACTATGCAAACTCCTTTTCTCACCACTAGCTAGCCCAGCTGACCTCAGACCACAACAAATCCACTACTTCATCGACAAACGCTCCAACAACGAGTAAGATGACGACCAAACAACCTCACTCTATTCAAGATCAACTAGCAGCATTAGGCGTAACCACGCCAAAGCCCAGTAGAAACACGCCATCTTTAGAAGATGTACTGAAACAGTACGATCTAGATGGTGTGGAACTGACCACTAAAGCACCAGCTCCAAAGTATGGGACCTCCAGCGATGCCATTTTGGCATCTATATTGAAGGAGCAGGGTATAGCACCACCCACACCGAAGAGTCTGGCTAAACAGATAGAACATGCGGTAAGTTTGTAGAATAAAGAAGGCTTTAACTGAAAGGTTACTATAGTCTGTGAAGAAATATTCGATTTCAAACGCTTTAAGATAAGTTTTGCGATGAAATTGGACAAGAGATACATATTACAGGTTGGTTTTCAATTTTGCCTTACCTTTCAATTTCCTCATCTTTTAAGGCAGCCAATAATAGTATTGCTTGAAGAATCCACCTTTTCATATATAAAAAAAATCTTGTGAATTTTTCGCGCAAATCTTAAAAGGAGACACGAATTTTGACTGCCGAAATATTCGCGCAAATGTGATAGGAGCGACGAGTTTTGTTATCGCCGATGTCGCGAAATGTTCGCTTCGTTATCGCGGCGAATTCATTCGCATTAGTGCCTCCATTCCTTTAGGTTTATCAAAATGGCGTCGAGTAGGTTGACTCTGAATTTTCCACTCAACGCCGTCATCAGTTCATAAAGGATTAAGTTCGACACCAATTAAGCATTCGAGAAAAAAGTAAATTACAAACTTGTACAACAGAGAAATTAAGCGGCTCAAGTCAGTCGAACAGGCCCATACAATTCATTCATTCCATATAATACATTATTATACATACATTATTTTCGTGTCCTACCGGCAGTACCGTCCGTCTGGCAATAACGCCTCTTCAAATACCAATACCACAAATATAATAATAATAATAATAATTAACGTCTTTTTGATTTGTAATATTATTACAGGAGCCGAGATTTAGATAATATATCTATTCTACCATCTAATCCCCTTAACAATACGAGATGTATAAAAAAAAATGTTGAAAATTAATACCTGTATACAATAACGACAGAATAAAGTATAATCTAAGTAAATACATAAGGGAAACATGAGCCCACTTATAAGTTACAACAGATTTCGCTGCTAATCAAGTAGAACTTCTTTCACTTTTTTATTGAATTTGGGTAATGAATTGGTTTCTTTTAAACTGCGGTCTAAAGAATTATGTGATTTGATCGCATTGTAAATATATATGTATTCTGAAATAGAGTTGTGCTGTGGCGTGGAATTGAAAAAGTCTCTCTGTATCTAATATTAATGCCATGCATATTCCCTCTAATATGTCTAATAGGTACCTAGAATTAGCGGGGCTGGGAGCGTATATGTAGATATACTAACATTAAAATTGAGATATACCCTCCCCAGCACGTACAACCCCCGATCTTTAACCCACTACAATCTTTTATCTGAAAATGACCAGGATCCTCTAAAAACGAAGTTTTGTCAATTTTTATTTTTTTCGATTTTTTGCCCCTAGCAATTTTTTTCAGGTACGCAGAAGGCACGGAAGTCTATTCAGTTTCAAGCACTAAAATTTTAAAATACCCAGACAAATGGAAGAGACCAAATCTTGAAACGTACGATTCAAATTTTAAGGGTTAAAACTTCTTTTTCCCAGTCTCTCGACTTCGTTAGAACGCAAATGCTATAGTAATGTGGCGATGGTTTAACAAAATAGAAATGATGCAAATCAACAAAAATCAACCCCAAAATATACACACACATGCAACTTGCAATCCCGCAGGGGTATCACGAATCTTGAAAAGTGATATTATGTCGTTTCTTTGAGATTATATAGGTTTTTTGTGACATTATTTAGGTTTTTCTACAAGATGTCAACTTGGAACTAGCTGTTGTTTACTTGATGTGCATTCGTTCTGTTGCTGTACGTGTTGCCTAAACATCATGACGTTTTAGCTATCAAAGTTTGACCCTGATGTGAAGTAACTTCTGCTTCAGAGATAGCATTATTGGAGGCTTAAGCTGTAAGTTGTATACTATAGCTGAAAATTACTTATGTAAATTAGCTGAATTTCAAAAATAACTAACAGGTGAGAAAATAGGCTACAGACAGAAATATTTATAAAAGGTGGAAAGGTTATTACATTTCACATTATTTTTTAATTTGCAGTCATTTATATTTCCTAGAAATTTATTTCAAGTAGAGAATACAAGTCAGCGCCTAAATGAGAGGACTGCGAATATGTTTTGTGTCATTCTAAATTTTTCTGTGATGTGGCTTGATTACACACAACGCAGTCGCGGTGGTGATTTCCCGTAATGCTTCTCAGAATATTTGAAAACGCAAAAAAGCCGAGGACATTTGCAATTTACAATCATCCAGATGCGATCTTGCTACCCAACAGATTTTCTTTCTGTCACATTTTCTCAGAGATATACTCTACAACCTATGTCGGTTATCTACAACCAACAAAGCATGATGGGGAACTGACTTGCAGCATGGTCATTGAGCTTGTCCTGTCGTTGAGTCATTCCTCCATAGATGACGCTCACAGCGCTCATTGCGGGAAAACGCTAATTCAACTATTTGCACACTAGGAACTATCTAGTTAGCAGGTTGACATGTTGTCGATTTTTTTGACATCGTATAGCTTTGCTACGTAATAACTCTGCCGATGACTCTGTCGCGTGCCTCAGCGGCCAGTGAGACGGAAATCTGCCACATATTAAGAAGAAAGTTCTTCGATTTTCTTATTGCTGAATTTTTCTAGGGTGTATTTGACGATACAACGACGAAGCGACCCAAGCCTCGCACACGGACCACTCCGCCTCCAAGACCGAGAGGAGGACTTCTTAACTGGCTACTCAACGCTTTTGCACCTCCTCCATCCAGCCCACCTCCAAGAAGGAGCAAGCCCAAGCCCAAACCAACGAAACCAAAAAAGCCACCAGTGGAGCAGGAGCTGTTGGCCAACTCGCCTACCCACGTCACGCCGATCGTGACCACTGCTCCAAAAGCACCATCGCCAAACTCCTTGTCACAGGTGAGATGTGAACAAAATAACGACCAGGTTCGGTACGTATCAATCACATTTACCGGGTCTCTCAAATTCGACCCTCACCGTTAAGATCTCGGGAATTTTAAGAGATACGGAGTGGCTTAAATGGAGGCAAATTTGCGTATCTAGGTTACTAGCAAAGTGCTGCTTAGAAAGTTTTAAAATGTAAAGTACTTCCGGAGTGAGACGGAAAAACCTAATTTTCCTGATTTTTTTTTATTTTTTCGCTGGATTTATTTGTAATGGGATTTCTAAATAAATATTGCGTCAACATTGCCACTTTTTCTGATCTACCATATTATATAACGAGAATTCCAACATGACGTTTCATCTCTTGTCCTCCAGCATCAACTGTATTTTTTTCTAAGGGATGCCATATTGGATTTTTATGTAGCATAGACGAATAGAGTTTTTAATTCCAAAATATACTAAGTGACATATAAATCCGAACACCCAGTTTAAATGGTTTTATTTTAATAAAATTTTGTATAAGTACTTAATGAAGCATAATAAGTAAATGATAAAAATTTCAAAATGATTGCACTGCTTTAAAGCCCTTTGACCTTTAATAATGTGTGGATGCACCCTGATGTGCTACGCATTCTCCAACGCGCCTAGGCATGCTTCTGATCAGGTGGTCAATGTCCTCCTGTGGTATCTCATTCCAGGCAACCACCAACTCCTCTAGAGTCTGAGGAGGACGTTGCAAATTGAGCAATCTCCTACCGATCATATCCCACACGTGCTCAATTGGGGATAAGTCGGGAGATCTTGGTTGCCATGGTAACAATGTGACATCATTATGTTGAAAGAAGTCTATTGTGACTCTTGCAACATGTGGTCGGGCATTATCTTGTTGGAAAGTTGGATCTGCCAAGGTGTCAAGATAGGGTAAAAGATGGGGTTCTAGAACTTCGTGGATATAACGCTGCGCGTTCATGTTACCTCTGATGAAGATTAAAGGTGACCTGGAACCATAAGCTATAGCACCCCAAACCATAACTCCAACAGTGTGATGGACTTTCAACAAAAAACTGTGGATTCCTCCTTTCACCACGTCGCCTTCTAACCCTGGCACGACCATCGTGCATGCCTAAACAAAATCGAGACTCGTCACTAAAGACAATACTGTTCCATTCCTGATCCCAGAGTGACCGTTGTCTGCACCACTCAAGGCGATTACGTCGGTGTTCTCGAGTTAAAGGGAGGACCCAGTGTGGCCGGCATGAAAACAAGCCAAAACTTCTCATTCGTCGGTAAACACTTCGCATGCCAATAGGTCTTCCGTGTTCTGCAACCCATTCATTTGCAATGGACCTGGTAGTGTAGAAACGGTCCCTTAAGGCCAATAATCTTACGCGGCGATCTTCACGGTCTGTTGTTCTAGGGCGGCGTCCAGTGCCCCTTGCTCTTTGCGTACGGCCTTCTCGAAGCCATGCCTGACCACGCCTAAACACAGTGTCTACACTTCGTTGCACTCTAACTGCAATTGCCCGAAAAGAAAGTCCGGCTTCCCGAAGTCCCACTATACGGCCCCTATCAAACTCACTAAGTTGACGAAATCGTACAGGTCTCCGTACTCTAGGCATCGTAACCGCTCGTAAAGGATGGAAAGAACCAAAATTCGCCAACGTTGATTCTTTATTGCGGCTGAAATATTCATTTTTAGAGCGTTAGTGAATTAAAAAAAAGCAGTATAAAAACCGGAATGTCCAACTGATAAGGCTGAACATTTTTTCACTTGTTATTTACAGTAAGATAAATACATTCACCAACTTTTATTAAAATAAAACCATTTAAACTGGGTGTTCGGATTTATATGTCACTTAGTATATATGATATCTCATACATGGACATTGCCAAACATAGCTATTTAACAGTCATTTGTTTCGTATACCAGATTTATTGGAAAATCGTTGTTTATCTTCTAGTCTTATTTGGAATTCGATTTTTCTCCTCTACAAGAGGCAGTAGTCAAATTCTCAATTAGTCGTTTCTGCTTCTGATCTCCATCCACAACTTTGTTCTTTTTTTTTCTTATGGACTCCTCATTGAAATTTTGCGGAATCGAACACAATTTTTGATTCTGCATACAGTTATGAACATAATATATAAATTTATGTCGATAAACTGCACATATTTAATTAAATTAATATATTCATTCTTAGTAGTAGTTAAATATACAAAATTCCAATATAGGGTTCATCTGGAAAAACAAAGTTGGTGATGAAAGACGAAAGAAGAATCCGCGAATTATAAATTTGAAGAAGCCTTCTTGTAGAGGAGAAAAAGTGGTAAAGACACCATGCAGCTTATTTAGATATCCATCTCAAATGAAGTCAGGAAAACATTAAAATGATTTTTTTATTAATCTGGTACACCTAACAAATGACTCAAGGCCTACCTAGGAAATTCCGTTTTTTCAAATAACTAAGATGTTTAAGTCAGTAAAAACTAAAACGATTTTTAGACAATTTGATTTTTCCCTCTCTCCGAAAGAACTTTGAATTTTGAAACTTTTTTAGTAGCAATTTTGTTAGTCACCTAAATACGAAACTTTGTCCCCATTCAAGCGAATTCGTATCTCTTATCGTTTCCGAGAGCCCAATGGTGAGGGTCAAATTTAAAACACCCGGTATGTTCGCTAGAATGCCTTATAAGACACAAGTCAATACCTGTCAGCCCAGCAACAGCACATTGCCGTCGTACTTATTTGTACTGACTGACAATATGTGAGTCATCGAAATGAAGCTTAAACCAAACCAACTAAGAATCTGAATTGATGACAGCTGTTTTTGACAAGGGCTTATTTTTATACCATTTATTTAGAACAAGAGATGAGATGTTGCCTTTTAGAATGCTATATCAAAACAGGAGTAACACCTTTGAAGATGGAATTACAGAGTAATGGTGAACGCTTTCATTTGATAGTCAATGTTTTTTTGGATCCACTTTAAGAAAAAAACTTCCTTTGAAGCTATATCCTAAATACAGGCATGCGAAGTTTTCAATATAACTACTAACTTTTCTTAAAATAAGAAAAAACAAATTTCTCTGCATGGTGATATTGTCATATCAACGATATTGTTATAATCATACAAACAAACGCTTTTTAAATTTTTAAACAAAAACTATCGATTTTTGCTTAGAGATCATTGGGGTTTCAAGAATATCAATGACGTACCATCAATGTCTGCCAAAATAGGCAGGTGTAATTGCGCACGAACGCCACTGGTAAAAATTAAAAAGAAGTGCAGCATATTAAAAAATGCCTCTTTACACATGTACGCCAAATGCCGATGAAATATTATCTAAAGAATAGAGAATCTCTCAAAAATTATTCCAAATGATTGTGTCAATATAATTGGAGAGAAATTATTATTATTGGTGAATCATTGTTTAGTACATGGGGAATTCCCATCAAAATTAAAATGTTCCACCATTACTCCTGTGCCAAAAGTTCAAAATTCTCATCTGTATTCAAATATATGCGACCGATTAATGTCTTGCCCGATGTCAAGAAACTGTTCGAAGGGATAATATAAGAACAAATCATAGAATTCATTGAAAAAACAAGATTTTTAAAAAATATAGCTGGATTTAGGAAAAATGTTCCACAGAAACGGCAATCCAAATGGTGGTGAAAGAATATATTGTAACAATATTTTTAGACTGCGAAAGGGCATTTGAGACTATAGATAGGGAAAAATTGTTAATGAAATCAGTATTACACATTTTACAAAATTATTTAGTAAATAGAAGTCAGAAATATTATGTCAAGTGTTCAAAATATATCAGTGCGGGTGCCACAGGGGAGTAAATTAGGGCCGTTACTATTTATTATTTATATAACTGATATCTTGACATTTTAGAACACTGCAAATTTCAAATATTTGCGGACGATACACACATATATATGTAGCACATAAGCATTTGGACTCTGCTTTAGAACTGTTAAATAGTGACATTGAAAGAATTATGAATGGGTTAAATCTCAATAAACTTAAATTAAACTCTAATAAAACAAAACGTATGTTAATAGGGACAATACAATTAGGTTCATGATTAATGATGAAAAAATTGTAGTAGTATGTGGATAGTAAGCTACTGTTTCATGAACATTATGAATACATTATTTCAAAAATATCGAAAAGGATAAATTACTTCTATCGTGTTTCCCATAATCTTTGTATGTATTCCAAAAAATTGTGTATAACACTATAATTCTTTCCCATTTTTTATATATTTATATTATATATTTTATATATATATATATAAATGAAAACATATTTTCAAAATTACAAATTCTACAAAATAAAGCTATGAGAATCATTTTAAATAAATACAAATATGCTAGGATTAAGTCTATGTTAGAAGAACTGCAGTGGCTGAATGTGTAAAATTTCATATATTATTTAGTTCTCGTTTTTATATTCAAATTAAAAAATCATTTATTACCACCACATTTAGAGAACTTCGCAAAATTAAATAATCATTATCATAACTACGCAACTAGAGGCAGTATAGATTTTCATTTGCAGAATTGTAATAGTAGCATAACTAGTAAATCTATATTTCAAAAGGGAGTATTTGAATAATGATATTAAACAGAGTTCGAATTTAAAAATGTTTAAGGCAAAATGAAAAAATCACTTTATGAATAATCAAAATACATAGTGACGTAATTTTAATTTTAATAGAAAAGAATGTAAAATTACAGAAAATGGATAGAAGAAAAATAATTAACCAAATCATTATGCAAAATTTACATTGTAGTATTAATGTTAAATAAATCTACAACAAACAAACAAAAAGTGATATTTTCACATATTAATAATTGAATTATTTATTTTTGAAAACGCCACCACCTGTACCTAAAAAGTTAAGGACATACGTTAATATGAAGTGTTCTTTTTTTATACTCCAACTACTACGAAGACCTAAGGCCATTGGGTACCGTGGGGCTATAGGGGGATACATGGGAAAGGGGGGGACGCCACATGGAGTCTGGCGAGGGAACACGTGTGCATGCAACATGCACACATTCTGGCTCCGCCTACGAGAACCGCCGGGTGGTACCTCCGCGTTCGACAGTCAGAGACCATCTACCACCTACGGACAATCACAACATCCATAGCCAAGGGAAAAATTTCTCCTGGGACGGGACTCGAACCCGCACAGCGCACGGCGACTGATCAGGAGACCGAAGAGTCTACTACTGCGGCCACCGCTGCTGCCTGAAATGTACCTAAAAATCGCCTCTTTGAGTACTAACATTCAATTAGGAAACACTATGTATAAATAAACTAATGTCCCACTTTAATCTGCAGGATGACATTCAAAAACTCATAAAACAGCTAGAGGGTCTACAGAAGGATCCGAAAGGCAAGGTAGATCTATCACAAGTGAAAAGTTTGCAGAACTTAATAAACACCGACGGGCCTGGAGTAGAGGTTCGAACAAATGGAGAACATGGTAAGAGGAAACTCTAGCTCATGACATTTTAACATTTTATGCAAAATTACAGAATAGCTGTCTCTCATCACCCACGATCTTGCATGCACTCAACGAAAAATGACATTGACAATGACAATATACGTAGAAGATTGGAAATATTTGAGAAGTATAGCTTATTCACTGAATCAAAGCGGCAAATAATGACAGTGACGCACATCGTTGCCACATTAATTAAAACTTCTAGATCCTAGGACGTTTTACAAAATCTACTTTATGTCATCGATACCTTACAGTAACCAACATTACGGAGCGTATGTTTTGTAAACGCTATAGCTAGTATAAATTCTATTTACCATTTGATACCTTTCTTACGGACTGTAAGTCAATAATGGAGCTCCATGATCTCGTTCGGTCTCAAAATATTCCGTCAAAGATAATACGACATAACTGCTTTGTTTCAGTGAATAAACTATACTTACGTTTTTTTATGTAAACACTACTGATGTATAATAAGTGTAAGATGTATGATCTAATATAATATCTAAAACTCATCCTGTGGTTTTCATGGTGATAGAACTCCATGTTTCTCTAACCAAATGAAACCATATATTACGAAATTACTCTTTATTTATGCTTTGGCCATCAAGTCAAATAGGTTGTCCATTAGGGACGCAGGAAAGTAAACGTCAATTTGACATATACGCCATCTTTGTTTTCTGTCACCGACATGTCATTTTGTTAGTTGAATGTTTACCATTGATCGCTATGGAGTCGTATTCGATTGAAGACCGCATTAAAGTTATTCAAGAGCACTACAAAAGTGGTGCAAAAATAAAAAGCACGTTTCGCGCGCTTCGTGAACATTTCGGTCGCAACAACCGCCCAAACGAAACAACCGTCGGTCGTCTGGTGCGTAAATTCGAGGCAACGTGTTCTGTGGCAAATCTGCCAAGCTCTGGCCAGTCAAGTAGCGTTCGCACACCGGAAAATATTGCTGTTGTGAAGGAGAGTGTGAGAGACGATCCGAAACAATCAACAACGCGTCGATCCCAAGAATTGGGCATTTCGAGAACCAGTTTGCTCCGCATTCTCCACAAGGATTTGAATATACACGCCTACAAGATCCAATTGACGCAAGAGCTGCGTCGGGCCGACCATTTTTCGCGCCGAACGTTCTCAGATTGGCTCCTTGAACACCGCCAAATTGATGCCAATTTTTCATCAAAAATCATGTTCAGCGACGAAGCGCATTTCACTTTGAATGGGACGGCAAACAAGCAAAACTGCCGCATCTGGGCGAACGAAAATCCCCGTGAGTATCAAGAGCAGCCGATGCATCCTCAAAAAGTGACTGTCTGGTGTGCATTGTGGTCAAAAGGCATCATCGAACCTTACCTTTTCGAAAATACGGCCGGGGACGCCGTTACCGTCAATTCTGAGCGATATCACGTGATGATAGAGGACTATTTTTTGCCGCAACTTGAAGGAATGGATATGGACGATGTTTATTTCCAACAAGACGGTGCAACATGCCACACAACCAACGTCAATATCCATCGATTGCAGTCCTTCTTCGGTGATCGCGTGATTTCGCGCAGAGGAAATGTGCCATGGCCACCAAGATCGTGCGATTTGACTCCCTTGGACTTTTTTTTATGGGGATATTTGAAAAGCAAAGTCTACGTCAACAAACCAGCCACCCTCCAAGAACTCAAAAACAACATCATTGCCGAGATAAATGCCATAGAACCGACCATGTTGCAAAATGTCATTGAAAATTTCGACCATCGCGTGGACGTCTGTAAATCCAGTCGTGGTGAACATTTGAGCGATATTATTTTTCATACATAAATGGTATAAATCAACCTTCAAAATAAAGTACTCAACTTGATTTGAATATCAATCTTTCTTGTTTTAATATGCGTTTACTTTCCTGCATCCGTTTTGGACAACCCCATAGGTTGACTCTTCACTTTCCATGCAACGCCGTTATCAGTTCATAAAGGATTATGTTAGATGATAGTTGCTATGATTTTGCCCGTTGTCATAGGCCAAGGCTAGACCATGCTGATGAATTGCTAAAAAAGCACGAAAGAGCTATCTGGGATTAGCTGTATTTGATTGTACAGATGAAAGCACCCTGTAAAAAAAAGTTATATTCGAACATGTATAACAGAGAAATTAAACGTACGTTTAATAGCTCCGTAACATTCTTTCCATGCACCGTTCATCTGACAACGTCGCGTCGCCTCTCCTCAATATCTGAAAGCATACTGGGTCTCACGCGGCAGAGCGCCGACAGAGCGCCAGTGATGCAGGATACATATGAACACCGGCACGCCGGCCGCAATCCTTAGTCAGCAGACGCAGGGACGCTTGTCAAAAACTTGTTACATAGTTTTAAAAGCAATTATACAGGGCAAATCTATGATGTGTGAAATATGTCTAATACATGAGTCGGATTAATAGGGTTGGAAGTGTATTGACATACTAACATCAAAAGCGTCCGTGGCCCTCTGCCCAACAAACTAACTTATATAAAATAAGTATAGGAACTTGTTTGCCTTGTTGCTTTCATATTTTATTTATTTTTGGACTTATGGTATATGTTTGTGGTTACAAGTCATTTAACATAATTGCCATCGAGTCCAAGACTAAATTTCTACGACCCCCTTCCCACTTCAGTTGGCCCACTTCAAGATTTGTACCAAAATACGCTTTTTTAAACTAAACATGACGAAACTACTTACTTCTAAAAAAAAATTATTTTCTCAAAAATGTTTTAGATACACTCTAGTCGTAAAAAATACATATTTGAAATCACTTAGACCTATAACTAATAGAACATCTGAACAAATAAACAATGTGCGATTAAATGCGCGAAGTTAACAAAGCAACAATTGAAAGATTGCCATTGGGTAACATCACCTTTATTTTTTATTACGGCTGAAATTCTTTGGGGCATAGTGTTAACCAAGTTTTGGCAAAAATTTGGTGTAAAACATTCCCATATTTCTTGAAGCTTTTGTCTCAGTTCGGTGATTGTACGAGCAGGATGTTGTCGATCCTTTTTCATCTCGTGCCACAAAGTTTCAATAGGTGACAGATCTGGACTGCTAGAAAACCATTTCAAAAGTGGTACATTATTTTCTTCCATCCATTTTATAGCCTTTTTTGAGGTATGGCACGCTGCACCATCTTGCTGCAACATAAAATCTTGGCCGGATGTCAACATTCTTCCGTCACTGGTAAAAGCGATTCTTCTAAAATTGCCGACAATTTGTTTGTATCCACAGCGTCACTCCACAGAGCACTTAATAATTGTAAATAATTGGCACGCCTGTTTTTCACGATTATTCTTCTTAATGCTCTTCGGTCGGCATTTGTGATATTACTTTTTTCACATATCGTGGCTTAATATTAACTGAACCAGTTACGTTATATCTTCTAGCAATATTTCTCACACTGTACCGCGATAAGTCTAACAAAGTTGATTTCCCAGAATGAAAAAATTTAATTATCAGTAACCGAATTTTCTCACTAATAACCTTTCCACTACCCATTTTGAAAACCTTAACCACCCAAAACTATTTTAAACGTATTCTGACAGCTGTGATTAATAAAAACGATTGTCATGGCATTTATTTTTCACAGCCACCTATGCGTTATAGACTTATTTTGCATTGAAATGAAAATAGGTAGATATGCTGTAATTGCAACATGTGTTATTTTTATGCTACAGATTTGATTAGGGAGTGATAAAGTTGGTTTTTTCTACTATATATTATCAAAATATTCATTGTTGCTATTTTGAACCTATAACACCCTGACAATTTTATTATTTGTGTTTGATAAGAAAAAAACTAAGATTTCAATAGTTGGGCCAACTGAAGTGGGAAGGGGCTCGTAGTAATTGGCATGTTTGACAACACATGATGAATGGGGGGGGTCGTAAAATGGGCGTGGAAATTTTATTAAAATACAGTATAGAATTTATCCGTAACTGCAGGTGTAAGTGGGAAAATGTACAAACCTCAAAAAGATGGCTCCGCGTAAAACCAATAAAGGGGGTTGGTATCTCATTCCTAAATGACATCCAGCCCCCCACTGCTCTGTGCTTGGAAAAAGGTCATCGTGATAGCCTAAACGTCAATAGAGAATAATTTCAACATACCTGACCAGAAAAACACCTACGACTATGAATACTTTATCTGATCAACACAACGTTGTTGTTTACTTAATAATATGTCACACCTTCAGGTGCCACATCTCATAAACCGTCCACGACGCGTCGTCCGAAAGCCCGTAAGAAGACAACTACTACAACGCCAGAACCAATCGCTGAAGAGGACGAAGACGATGAGGAATTTTCCAACTCTGTTTCAACACCGAGGTCGCAGGTGCGTGGTCATACAGTAGCTCCATTGGGTTTCAACCCGGTACCGGGGGTTGACGAAGATGGACCTGGAAGACTGATACGGAGCAATTTGCTCACGGCTGCGGTCAATGTTACGAGAGCTATGGCTGGCTTCCTTGGAACTGCGATACAGGTAAAGAAGACCTTATTATTACTATAGTGTATTTACACCTAAGATAGAATGGATGCGTGATCGCCAAAAGCAAGGACGGCGTACGGGGCCGCACTCAGGGCTACCTCCGAATGATGGACTGCCACCAACGTGTTGTAAAACAAAGATGGCAGTATATAACAGAAACAGAAACTTAACAAATTACTCAAATACACTTAACAACAACAACAGCAACAACCAAGCAAGGTAAATACGAAAACACGAGCACGCAGTGATACACGCGACGGTCGGTGGCCTGCCTTGCCCCTGCCCCGCGCATTATTCCGCCAGGCGACCGCTTGAAATTTAAGGGCGAATTGACCAATAACAAGCGTTGTCCCCACCTGTTACCGAGATATCACGCGCTAACTGTTATTATTTACATCTCATCTTGAATTTGGATTCAGTTTAGATCTGTCGGTTTCCGAAGAATGTACAGGGTACATTTGAGTTTCTTGCATCGCAATAGTAGAACCTACCTACAGTTTCATTGGAGCTCCGAGGTAAGGGTGGGGAGAACTTACTCAAACGCAGGGACGCTTGTCAAAAACCGGCAGGGTTGATAAGCTGGCGACGGTTTTTTCGACTTACAGATAGGCAATTTTTTTTGTGACTTTCAGGAATATTTTTGCATACACTGAGGATTTAGTTAAGGCTCACTTCTTTTGCAGTGCCAGCATTTCCGAATATTGAGTGCAACTAATGATTATGCTGCATCATCTCCCCAGCCATCATACAATGCAATTAAGAAATTTCCCAAGTTGAAAATATTGTAAATATTTTATTTTAATCTGAACGAAGTTTTGCTACGTCTTCAGATTTAATAATTTTGTTGCGAGTGCTTATGCTTTGCTAATTCTCATGTATCATATCCCACAGTTGTTATACATTGCCAGGTTAAATGGTACCAAATATATTATCAGGACTAGATCTAGCAATGTGCGAAAGGTGGTTGAAATCATGATAGTGAATTTTCATAAACAAGTCACTGTACGTATTGACATACGTACAGTAGAGTAGTAGTAGAAAGTTTTAGTTAGCACTTTGGCTACATAAACAGAATAATTGTAAACAACTTAGAACTAATAAATTCAAGCCATATGGTGTATGATGTAAATGCTGGGCAACCTATAATTGTAGATTTAACAAGTGGTTTCTCAATTTTACTTTAAATTTTGTCAAAGTTTTCTGGTCTTTTATCTCTGAGCATAATTTATTATATTCAATCAATCCTTGATGGTATACAGATTTGTAGCATATGTTATACTTTTTGGTCATTAAATGGAAGTCATCTTTATTTCTGGTATTATGTAAATGATGGTCGACATTTGATGATGTTAAGTTAGTTAGACTTGATGGAAATATATTATTTTTTACTTTATAAATGAATATCATTACAAAAATAAATAAAAATTTTTACATTGAGCCATTTTAATTTGCTAAGTATTTGCCTAATTGGAGTATATTTATCTTTATTTAGTATTATTCTCATGCACTTATTAATAAATAATATATATATATATATATATAATAAATAATAGTCGAACAGTACAAGAAATTTGGAAGAATGATGGTATTATAGATAATTTTTCTGCTATATAAAGTCAGACATCCAGAAACTCTCGATAAATATCCCACTTTACTACTAATCTTATTTATAACTTTTTCATAATGAATATCAAAAATTAATCGAGAATCAACAAAAACCCCCAGGTATTTAAAATTTTCTACGAATTCAATATCTTCACCATCAATATTCAGTTGAACATTTGTACATTGTTTTTTCCGATTAACAAGGCTTTCATTTTACTTGCATTTAATTTTGATCTGTTAGATGCTAACCACTTTGAGACAAGTTTCAAGTCTTCATTTATATAAGAGATACCAGTCTGAATATTTTTAGTACCTACTTATGGCAGGTGAATCATTTATGTATAAAATAAGAAGTAGTCCCAGGATACTGCACTGTAGAACACCGAACGTATTTTCAATTTTTGATGAAATAGTGTCATTAACTTTTGTAACTTGCATCCTTTTAGACAAATAACTGCTAAACCAATCTAAAACACTTCCTGTTATACCATATGCCTTCAATTTACCTAACAAAATATCTCTATCAATCGTTTCAAATGCCCTCTTCAAATCCAAAAATACTGCATTGACAGCTTCTTCTGAGTCTATGGCTCTTCTCCAATTCTCAGTTACCAACTGGAAAGCCGTTTCTGTGGAATATTTTTTTCGAAAGCCTGCTTGCGCCTCCACTAAAATTTTGTTTTCTTCTATAAACTGCATTAATTGGTCATGCACTATGGACTAATTTTTCAATGTCTGGTAACACATTTACTGGTCTCATATCGCTGCATCTTTTAGAATTGTTTATTTTGGAGACTGGTGTTATTGTAGAGCATTTCAAATTTTCAGGAAAAGAACTGCTTCTCAGTGAACAATTGATCCAATTTAATACAGGATATCCCAAAATTTCGAAACAGTTTTTCATCACGTTTTTAGTAGTGATTTCGGCACAGTTGTTATTTGATTTTAAACTGTTTACTTTTTTCTTAGTAAATTCAATGATACGCTGTGAAATTTTGAAAGTGTATGCAACATTTCCCCTGGAAACTGATTTTCATATAGTCAGGTGCACCATTGGCAGTACCCACAATATCAACAATACTTTCCACAAAATATTCATTTAGTTTATTTGCAATCACCAAAGAATTTGTTTCGGTACCGTTTTCGAATTGAACTTGATTTACACAATCATGCGGCTTCGAATTGATCAGTGTTTTTAGATTCTTCCACATCTTTACAAGTGTTGTCATTATCGGTTTAATGATACAACAGATCTGTCAAAAGTGGTTTAAATCAAGATAGAAAGGTTTGGTCCACTGGATATTAGATACAACACACCTTAATCAACGCTGTCCTTCAGACAGTAAAATGTCCCTAAGCTTTAATATCCGTCTGACCTATAGGTGCTACAAATGTAGAGGTTTTCGCCACTCACTCGTGACTTCCTGTTGTTGTTTTACAAGCTTTTATCTTACTGTGAAATATTTGTGCCTGAATCTTCCCAAATAATTTCCAATTTCTGATTTCCCGTGCGCAATCGAATTGGTGAAAATATGTAGATGGAACTAATATTATTTGCAATTTTGGCGTTTTTTCTCATTCCGCCTGGTGACGCAACCTGGCAACCCTGCTTACGGGAAACGTCCACTCGTTTTTGTTCATCGGTGAGCAATGGGCACTCGAGAAACTAACTTGTATACACGTTCTTAACACCCAGATCCGCTATAAGCATATTGTGAGCCGAATATGTATATATTTGGACACGGAGTGCTAGTCGACGACGCTGAATCAAAGCAGTTACGTCACAGCTTCAAATAATGACAGTGACGCACATGGTTGCCACATTACTTAAAACTACTAGATCCTAGGAAATAAATCAATTTACTTGACAAAATTTGCGACAATGTGACAACACAGAAAACTGTTACCAACATAAATGTACCCGGGAGATTCAAACTATACGTACCAATTTAGGAGCTATTTTGCATCAAGGTTTTCATTCAAATTTACAAAATATGACGTAACTGCTTTGTTTCAGTGAAAAGACTATATACGTATTGGTATTATTCTTCGTGGTGCTCACTATCTCACTTTTACTATGTTTTTCAATAGGAGCAGTAGTTGCATTTATAGCTGGAATTGTGCAATGATTCCCGTTATTCACTGAATTAACTTTAATTTCTTTTAATTCATTTTAATGTTATATTTATTGATATAAATTTAACATTTTTTCGTCAAGACTTTTTAGAGTTAACCTCCTAGAGAACATACATACTCTGACTTACCCACACTAACAAATCTCTAATATGACAGAATGGTGCACTCCTGGATTTATGCCTCAAATATGAAGTGAACTTTTCTTGGAAATTTTAACATGAAAAACCTGTTTTTACAAGATGGAGCCTCACCCCTTATAGAACAGTTATCCTCCTTTCATGATCTTGCACTGTTAATTCTAGTAATTATTACTGTCTTAATTGGACAATTAAAATATTTATATTATTTTATAATAATTTAACTCATCGATATTTACTTGAAGGTCATATCACTGAAATTATTTGAACTATTCTTCTTGCGATCACTATAATTTTCATTGCTGCAATCCGCTTACGCCTAATTTACATACGTGATCAGATTAATAATCCTATGATTACTATTAAAATATTGGTCATCAATGATGTATCAGATTTCAGAAATATTGAATTTGATTCTCATATAATCCTAGTAAACGAAATAAAAAAACACAATTTTCGATTATTAGACTTAGATAACCGTATCACTTGAGGCCTCTTGATAAGGAATCTTTTTTATAATCCTCTGTGACCAAGGCAAATGCTTTAGTGGCAGTCTGCCCAGGCGAAAGCAAAATTTTAAAGCATATCGCTGCTATAGCAAGCATTTCATCTTAGATTCTTTTATAATGGGTGACGCGTGAATCGTGTCTTGTGTCATCATCAAACTTGTTCAGTTTGGTCTATAATTTAACCATGAATCGACTTACGAACGAACAGCGCTTGCAAATTATTGAATTTTACTATCAAAATTCATGCTCGGTTAAGAGAGTGCATCGAGCACTACTTCCAATTTATGAGCAATTTGGTCCACCTACTGAGGGAGCTATTCGGAAGCTTGTGACTAAATTTCGAACCCAGTTTACATTATTAGACATTAAACCACCAACACGCAGACGTAGAGTGAGGACTGAAGAAAATATTGCGGCTGTATCCGCCAGTGTTAGTGATTACCGTGAAATGTCGATTCGCCGCCGTTCGCAGCAATTGGGCCTCTGTTACTCCACTACGTGGAAAATTTTGCGACAGCATTTGGGTGTAAAACCTTATAAGACACAGCTGGTGCAAGAATTGAAGCCACACGACCTCCCACAATGTTTCCCATTTGGCAAATGGGCGCTGCCAAAGTTGGAGGAAGATCCACATTTTTATCGAAAAATTGTGTTCAGCGACGAAGCTCATTTCTGGTTGAATGGGTACGTTAACAAGCAAAATTACCGCATCTGGAGTGGAGGCCAGCCAGAAGCATTGCAAGAGCTACCAATGCATCCCGAAAAAATCACTGTTTGGTGTGGATTATGGGCCGGTGGCATCATCGGGCCGTACTTCTTCAAAGACGACAATGGCCGGAACGTAACTGAATGGCGAGCGCTACCGTGCGATGATAACAAACTTTTTTTGCCCAAAATGGAAGAGCTAGACTTGGCTGACATGTGGTTTCAACAAGACGGTGCCACATGCCACACCGCACACGAAACAATGGCCCTATTGAGAGGCGAGTTCGGTGAACAGTTTATCTCACGTTTGGGGCCTGTCAATTGGCCGCCTAGATCGTGTGATTTAACGCCGTTGGACTACTTTTTGTGGGGCCATGTTAAGGCTAATGTCTACAGGGCTAAACCAGCAACGATTGACGCGCTGGAAGCCAATATTGAAGCATTTATTCGTGAGATACCGGCCGATATGTTGGAGAGAGTGTGCCAAAATTGGACCTTGCGCATGGGCCATCTAAAGCGGAGCCGCGGCCAACATTTACATGAAATAATCTTTAAACATTAAATTATATCGACCGTTCTATCGACTGAAATGAAGATTTAATCGTTTTTTCAATTTTTTTGTGTTTTTTTTTTTTGAAAATTAAATCCTATACCTCTTAAAAAATCACCCGTTAGAAATGGAGAACAGCTTTAACGCAGTGGTCGCCTCTCACTATGCAACATTGCAAGTATGAGCGCACGGCAAGTCTCGTTACTTTCTGAGCACACCCTGTATGTTTGTCTCATCGTATAAATTGGAAATGTGACGCAACACCAGAACAAGATCCCGACTCAGGTCGACGTTTATCGACTTAAATAAAAAAACAAGATTTTGGCAGATCAAAAGCATGACTACAAACTATCCTTATACTGTAAGAAATCGATTACGCCTGGCATTGACCTAAGGTTTGGTGCTCAAAGAATGTAAATACCGATGTCCAATGATATTTTTTTTGTTTTCACCGACTATCACAAAGACAAGGATTCGAGGACCTAATCTATATACTAATTGTTCAAGCTAGTTTATACCGGTGCCTCATAGGATTTTTCGGTCCTATAGGTAAAATGGTGGTTCTAGATGGATGATTTCTAGTTATTTTTGTAGGGAGCTGCCGTACGACTTAGCAGTTACTTAGCAAATGGCTCTGCAGGTGCGGGTTCGACAGGAAGCGCCAGAGGTGGCCTCTTGACACAACTGCTAGCCAACAGACAACATCAAACTCCTACAGACGAATAAACTATGTGCTTTCTTACATACCAAAAACGGTAAAATCAGTAGCTCGAATAGCAAAAATAGTCATCCAACTAAGTAGATAGACCATTGGTTCATCGTATTTCTAACGTTCTAGTCATCCTAATCATCATTTGTATAGATGGTATAATTGAAGCATCTGCATAATCCTGGGAAGCCATTTTAGTTGAGTTCTGCTTGTACTTGAATACATATCTTCATCGTACACTCTGTATAATATGTATCACTATAGTTCTCATTCATCTTTAGCTACAGTATATTCAGATAAGAGATAGACCGGACATAAACAAGACCACGTGATCATCGAACGCTGTAACATTCGGCAGGGACGTATTAAGAGTCACGCAGTACATATTTTAGATAGTAGATGCTGCTTTGCGTAACTTTGTAGTAAATTAGCACAATTCGATGTGTATACGATTGGTGATGGATATAGGATCATGTGGGGATGGGGTAAGAAATATATAATGATGTAAATATACATAAGGGTTTCAAAATTTTCGCTTCGATTTCCAGCTTCGGATGCCGCCTGATGTTTGGTGAAATACAGTCGAATATAATCTCAAAATGGCGTTTAAATTAGCCTAAATTAAAAATAATCGTATATCTCTTAAAATTGCTTTTAGAATATTGATTAGTATATTTTTTGATTTCTAGGTAAATATGTAACCAAATTAAAACGTTCAAAACGTAAAAAAATGTGCATGGTTGAACATTGTCAGAAAGTAGATTCTTGAATAGGTTTTGCCAAAATGGGTTCAAAAATGTCAATAATTAATTAAAAAATACAGTAGCTTTATAATTACTTATAACTTACCGAATTTGATGAACGACATCTTTTATTGGAAAGATGAGCTTGATGAGCTTTCATCATCGCTACTGCCTGAAGCACCAACGTCAATAATGAATGGCTCGACTTGTTCCTCTAAAATATTGTCCAGTTCCCACATTCTCTTTTCAACTTTGTCTTTCACGTGCTTAATACAGTTTTCCCATTTTTGCGCTGTTATTAATTCTAGTGCTTCTTTGAAAAGTCCTTTGAGGTCACAAAATTTAAAAGTTGTATTGTGCTTAGCTATATAATTTTTAACCCCTGCCCATATGAGCTCAATGGGATTGAGCTCGCAATGGTATGGAGGTAAACGGAGCACAGTTTTATTTTGACTTGCTGCCATTTCGTCAATGGCGTATTTTTGATCAATTCTTAATAATTGTACTTTCAGCATTGCTTCTTCAAAGTTGATATTTTTCTAGCGGAGGCAATTTTGAGCATCAACTTTCCTTGAAGCCATTGTTGGGACCTTCTCCATTCTTCGAGAATGATAAGGCGCATTATCCAACACAATTACTGCGTTTTCCTCTAAGTTCGGTAAAATTTTTGAAAACCACTGTTCAAACGATTCGCCATTCATTTCCTCGTGGTAATCTTCAGTTTTCTTAGACTCAAAGCACCACAGACCATCAACAACAAATCCATCCTCACTGCCAATATGGCAGATAATGAGCCTTTTCCCTTTACCTTTACCCAGAAAAGGTGTGATTTTTTTGTATTGTCTTAACACATTAAACACTGATGCGCGACACACCCCAACTTTGTGAGAAACCTTCACAACAATTTCTTTGATGGTTGATGCCTCGTTCTCCTCGCGCTCGATCTTATATATATTCAAAATGACCTCTTTCATTTCTGCACTCAGGTGTCTTTTTTTAGAGCGTTTCCTAGGTGGACTACAGGAGTTTACAACTTCATCGGCAGTATCTGTACTACTGGGCATTTTGCGCAAGCAGTTGATAACAATAACAATCAATAACAAGGTATAACAATAACAACGACAAACTCAACAACTTAATAAGATAACAAACGAAAACGTCCAAAGAAATATCAAATTACAATGATGCACACGACATACGTAACACGTCTGAACCTGAATGTGACTCTGCCTTGATACGACTGCTCTGCCGCTCGGCATAGGCATTTAATTGCGAATTGACCAATGTGGGCTCCTGTTTTACGTCGAGACGGCGGCGTTAGCGTGAAAATCACCCGAACCTTTTGTTTACATCCGGTCTATCTCCTATCTGAATATACTGTATGTACATCGTAAAGCGTATCAATCTTCGTATTGTAATATACAGCGAAATTTTTCTGACGACTTGAGTTCAGTGTGTAGGAGAGAAAAGCGCGAGAAGTGGTAGACAGAGATAAACCGGCTAAAAAGCGGAGGTCATCACCACATTGCCTAGTGATGCAGACGGTCTTGCAATCTGCCGCATTCACTCGGGCTTCTACAATAGGTTATAGGTTACTGTCAAACCCGAGAAGGAGGTCTGTTCGAACATTTAATCTGATATTTTGTTTTCATTCTGATTAAGAGTATCTATTTCGGCTCTCTGTTTTTCAATTATATTAGAATTATCTTTGATTTTCACCGATGGTGATAAAATCAACTCATCCTGAGTTATTGTTGCACTTTGAAGACCATTTTGGAGCAGGACGACACTCCCCAGTGAACGCCAAATGGGTAGTGACCGAAATCTATGATCATGGAGGTGGAAACCTTGCCTTGGTATGTACGAAATGCGGTGTTGCCAAGCGAACTAATAATGTAATGTCGCAGAATTTGTGGCGATCCTGACCTAAAATGGAGCGCGGTTAGGACTGATCTGGAATCGATCATAAACAGGTTCGCCACAATTCACAATTAAAAAACGTGTACGCTCAAAATTAAACCCTTATTTTGGCGTACGAGGGATCTCTTAAGTTTTGCATATAGAAACATAGTAGGCCGCGCGGATCGAACGTCAGTACTGAATCTTCACCTCACTCTTTAGTAAACTTAAATTCAAAGTTTCACAACAATACGTGCAGTGGTCTCACTACAGGGAATTTCTAAGTGTCACCAAGTCATTAGAAAAATGGAACTCAACCGAGAACATTTTCGCGCCATAATTTATTACAACTTTCAGAGACAATTATCGCAACAAGAATGCCTTGCTGAGTTGCTGTCTGTTTTCGGCAACGAAGCGCCATATCAATCGAAAATTTCCCGTTGGTATGGAGAATTCAAACGTGGATGGGTGAGTCTTAGCGACGATCCCAGGGTGGGTGCACCAAAAACGGCAGTTACCCAGGAAAACGTCGATGCTATGCGCAAACTCATCATTGAATATAGACATGTGACATATCGCGAGATTGAGGCGTCCTTGAAGATCTGAAAGACCTCAATTCAAAAATTTTACATGAAGAATTAGGAGTAAGAAAATTAGTTTCTCGTTGGATACCCCACCTGTTGACTGAAGAGCAGAAAGCAGCCAGGGTTAATTGGTGTCAAAAACCGTTTCAATTCCGGAAACTCAAAAAATGTGTACAGCATTGTTAGTGGTGATGAATCGAGAAGATAAACGACAGTCGGCTGTTTGGGTGTTCCAAGGTGAAGAAAAGCCAACAAAGGTCATCCCTTTTTGAAATGTTTCGGAAAAGATGGTCAAACGCGGGTCATATTGCAACAATTCCTCTTAATGAGCAAAGAACTGTTACTGCGGATTGGTATACCACCATTTGTTTGCCAAAAGTCATCACCGAGCTTCGAAAAATCAACCCCAAAGAAGAATCATCCTCCACCAAGACAATGCAAGCTCGCACACAGCCCAAAAAACAAGGCAGTATTTAGCGGAAGAAAACGTGGAATTATTGGACCATCCTCCATATAGTCCCGATCTAAGTCCTAATGATTTCTTCACTTTCCCGAAAATGAAAAACAGACTGCGTGGTCAAAGCTTCCAGTCACCAGAAGAAGCAGTTGACGCATTCAAAAATGTTGTTTTGGATCTGCCAGAAACGAATGGAATAAATGCTTGAAAAATTGGTTCGAGCGCATGCGGATGTGTATTAATCTTCGTGGAGAATACCTCGAAAAACAATAAAGTCATTTAAAACTACCTACCGTGTTGTTTTTTTCCATATGCAAAACTTAAAAGACATCCCCCGTAGAGAATAAACTAACGCACTTTTTCAACATTCATCTTCATTCAAGTAATTGGTGAAACATATTGGTAACGTGGCAGAGTGCCGCGTCAGCGTTGCTAGACAACGCTGTGATGAACTTTGCTATCCAGCTAACTCTTTCTAACATACGTGTCTGTACACTCTTCTCTCCAAGCCGTCAGACAAATTTGGTTCTCAGTGTACTCAGAATAACCTTATACCCTGCTAAAAATGTAATAAAAATTGGTAAACAACCTACTGTGATCCATCACAATTTCTCTAGCTACGGCAACCCAAGCGTGCGTAACATTTCTGATTTAATCGTAGGGTCTAAAATTCCTGTAACATTTTTTCCTTGCTGACCCTTATGTCAACATCACCTTCGGCTACTACACCTTCATCTTTATGGTTATTTCGTCCATAACTTTAAAAATAAGGTTAACTGAAATTTGCAATTATAAAATCCTACATTGAGATTATGATGCTCAGGTTAATAGTGTTTATCGTTTTACATGACGAAACCTTTCCCACCATTTTACACCAAATAATTGGCTTTGAGAACATCCATACACACCATCACAAAAAATACTTATTCTTCTCTACCATATCTTACTCGACATGGATCAAAGTAATTCATGACATCCATACGCATGGTCCACCACTTACCAACATTGGCACTTCAAGTGACTCACGAGCCAATCCTAACCTAACTCTGCCTCCCTTATTGTTCTACCATAAAAGTCATGAATATTAGTGACACTGTTTTTCTTTTTTTGATAGGGTGCAGCTAGAGGAGCAGCCCAAGGCTTTCAGTCGCTGATTGGCTCTGGATCTAGACTTGCGACGACTTACGCTCAAGGATCTTCGGCGGGTCTTGGATGAACAGATCGCTGCAGTTCAAGAAGTCAAAATATGGGCCACAGGCAAAAAAGCACTAATCGTACAAGTTGCATCAAATACTGAAAGAGCTTTTGACGAAGATTTGTACACAAAAATGTATTATGCCTGTGTAGAAATAGTAGTAAAACCTTCCAGTAAAATACAGTTACTTCCAGGTTTTGCAGACGCCCATATATAATTAGCCATTGTTTAATAGGATTATTGTTTTTTGTAATTTATTTTTTATTTTTTAGTTAGATTCTTTGTTGTGTGATAGTTCACATTTTTATAATTGTGCTTTTTTCGGAATTCAGGTATTCGACGGATTTTTCGTAATATAAGGTTTACTGATGATTTGTCAATATGCTAGTACAAGGCAGAAGACAATTTTTTTTATTTATGTTATTATTAGCATTATATAGAAATTGCCATGGCATGCAAAGTTCCGAAAAAGGCAAATAAATGGTCAAAAAATACTGTTGTTTGTTAGTAATTGTGTAAGCCAGCTGATGTATAATACTCGTACACATAGCATTTCATGTACATATATAGCTATTTTTGTAAATTATTATCAATGTGAACGATGATAAGCCTCCTATTGAAATATATTATAGGTCAATGTAAATAAATACTGTCTCTGGAATTTCTGTTTTATTAAAGGCACCAAATATCGCTAAAAATGCGTATTAGTCCCACACCTTCATTTGTAGCTGCAAGCCGGTTGCGTTTTTCGATATAGTTGTCACCGTTTTTGGGGGGTCAAAGTAAGACTACTACTATCCTTTATATATATATATATATATCATGTGTTCCTGACATACAGCTGTGTGTATTTTATACTAATTTTAACGATTGTACCATGTATCCAGCTTCTACCACGTTACTAAATGTTTCCCTCAACTTAACCTTTAATAACATTTAGCAACAATCTCACATACTATTGTAAGTAATTTAAAATCATTTTGCACAATAGTTGAGGAGCAGACTTTCTAATCGCACATTGTCCATTTTGGACTTTTTAGAGGAAACGGGAAAAACTGCTGTAAGCTTTTTGCTAACATTTGAAAAACGAGTAACACATGACAAAACGTATTTTATTATCAACAGTTTGCTATAGTAACAAGGCTCGGCAAATATTAATAGCTTACTAATAAGTTTAGTGGACAAAAGGCTCTTTGAATGTCCACAATGGACAAAAGCGAGTCCGTTTGTCCATAAATGAAAAATGATTTCATACTTAAAATTCTAAAGCAAACAGTTCTATTCCAATTATATTACATGTAAGTCGTCTTCCGCCAGGCATCAAAATTCTTCGTCATCTTCACCATGGGCACAGCTCTGCTCCTTTCTTCCGTTGTCACCGTGTTCCCTATGCAGATATTTTAAAATTGGTTGGTTCTGGATCTCCTACCCAATCTTGGCCTGAAAATCTTACTAAAAATGTAGATGAATTTTCTTTGAGGAACCATCATTTCTGTATAATAGTTCGGTCTTATACAAGATTTTACCTACACCACTATTATATGTTTGTCTTTTTATGGTTATTCTTTTTGGCCTCGGAAGTTCTGTAATTTTTTTAAGTGAATCTTTCCTAACGTTTAAGGTAGCATTCATTTTCCTCCTCCTAACAACTCGATCAACATCGCCAACCACATGCTCTCCATCACTCATGTTGTTATTTCTAACTTATTTACAGAATAATATCTTTTGCGCTATCACTACTTAACAGCACACTCATTTGACAGCTAATATCGTTGTACCGCAGACAAATCGCACATTGTCCGTTATATTGCTATCTGATTGTCTCTTGCCATCAGGCAAAGTGCGTTTAGCTTGTCTAGGATACATTTGAAGTCAAATATTTACTGAAAATAGTGCGATTCGGGTGTTTTTCAGTGCCATGAATCGAACGTCACCTTTGGGCAAAAATGTTAAAATATGAACAAAGTGCGATTAGAAAGTCTGCTCCTCAGTTGCTACTTTTTCTTAATGTTATTGCAGCTCCTGATGATGATGGCAAAGTCCATTGAAAGCTAGAGACTAATAAAGTATAAAGAGTCCTCATTGCTTGAATTTTGTCGAAGTACTTAACTAAAGGCTTTTTTATTTATTTATTTTTCACCTAACTGGTCTAGACGACAATGACCAGTTAGGTGAAAAATTAAAGCTTCCGCCTTTTGTTGGGTACTTCGACAAAATTTAAGCAAAGAGGTCTCTTTATACTTTTGTTATTCTCTCTAGCTTTCAATGGACTTTGCCATCATCATCAGGAGCTGCAATTACATTGATAACAGTAGCAACAATAGTGTAAAATGAATTTAAATTGACTTAACTTACAGTGGTATGTGAGGATGTTGCTAATTATTGTTAACGTTCAGGATGAGGGAAACACCCAGTAACATGGTGAAAGCTGGATAGATGGTACAATGGTCAAAATTGTATAAAATACACATAAATGTGTGACAAGAACAAGTTAAAAACAGATTAAAAATGTTTAGAACATGAAAGCATTACATCGTGAAGCCACTTGATGATTGTACAAAATGGTGGTCATGGAATAATGAGTGAGATGAACCCTTTGACAGAAGGCCGAAGGTTGTCAATGTCTGTGTAGAAAGATGGAACGAATTGTGGGCGTGTGCCACGTGGCCGAATCACTTAAGATGATGTGATTTTCAGAATGTTATGTAAGAAATTATTAAACCGACCAGAGGCAGTTGAATTAACTATATTTTAATTAATGGGCAATTAAATTACAATTATTATTAAATCGTGAGGAGAAAATTATTAGAATTTGAGTGGAATGAAGTTTATTGGTGGAATCGACCAAGAAACAGATTCCATTTATGGTTGAGAAGAGTCAAAATTTGGAGAGATATGTAAGTGCTCCAATTTTTCGCAGTTTAGAAAATATGAGTAAATAACACTTAGTTGCTTAACATCTGTCTTTTTGTTGATACAGTTGTTATTCATATATATATCACACATCGGCCTGCAATTCAAGTTGTCCTGTTATCAATCTTCGATATAAAATTGTACAATAAAATATGATCAATGGAGAAGGCCGACAGCGCGTGCTAAATTTATTTAGTATAGAGTATTTCCAGGAAGTGAATGAAAACAACGTTCCCCTGTTACCCATTTCATGCGTACTAGAGAGAGTAGCAGATGCGCTAAGGATTAGTCCGCACAGTGTCCCACCCATGGTATGGTTTACTTATTTCATATGACGTTGATGACGTAACCGCCTAGAACGGTGACTACAACTATACCAAACATAAAAAGTGGGACCTCACAGATAAATGAAATTATATATCATTCAATATTTTGTGACAGCAGCTTGTTAAGGTTTGACACTCAAAGGTACGCACGATACGAAAAAGGTCACTCTTGAATATAAGGTAGAAATAAGTTATATCGTCGTATGCTAGCTTTCAGTTTGCGAAGCGGACCAACTTTACCTCAAAAGCCGAAAAGTAGCTAAAAGATGACCCGAAAACTGCAACTTATACCTGGTGGTGAAGAACAAGGAAGCTTATTAAAAACCAAAAGGTCACTCAAAACAATTTTCGAACACCTCCAAAAGGTTGTTGGTCGAAAACTTTCTGCATGATGTCCCAACGACAAAAGAAATGTAAAACATATTCTTCTCATACAACATAAAACCTAATAATTGTACCATCAGTTCGTGCAGCGAAGGTGTAGATTAACCGATACAAAGTGTACGGAGTTTTATTACAACATTTTATTATTAGCAAAACTTTATTTTCATTTAGTATGCTTTTTGAAAAATTTATCTGTCTAACCGTAAGCTGTGTGTGGAATTCAAGGGATCCAAACCTCGAAAGTTCTCTCCAACATCAGGTGTTCCACAGTTGTCCACGTTATGACCACTCCTTTTTCATTATATTTATCAACAACGTTGCTGGCGTCAATGATTGCAAATTTATTTATGCCGATGATCTGAAAATGTATACTCAGGTAAGCAGCAGCACGTCTCCAAAATAATCTCAATCTAGTAATAATTTGGTGTGATAATAATAACCTATCTAAGAATCCATTCAAGGGTATCAACATGAAGTTTTCTAGAAAACAACGCCCGATAGAATATATAATCTAATACAGTCCTTTGAGCTGGAAAAAAAGGAATAAAACCAAACTAGTTACATTATGAAGAATTACTATATTTTGTTATCATCTTTATTGAATGGGAATTATGTTTTAAAAATCACATCGTCTAAATGCAATCCATTACGATCACGGCACTCATATAAACGACGTCTAAAATTGTCGATGACTGCGCGGCAAGTCAACACTGTAATGCTTGCCATTTCTCTTCGGATATTTTCTTTCAGGACATCAACTGATCGCGGAGTGGTGTCGTACACTTTACTCTTGAGGTAGCCCCATAAAAAGAAGTCCATTGGGGTCAAATCTGGACTACGTGGTGGCCAGGAAATGTCTCCTCTTCGAGAAATTACCTTGCTGGGAAAAAGTTGACAGACGACGGGCATAGAAGTGTTGGAGGTGTGGGCAGTTGCTCCGTCCTGTTGAAACCAGGTCTGCGTATTATAGCCTGGAAAATTCTGCAACGCTGGTGTCAAAAACTCTTTAACAGTTAATGCGCGACCTCTGTCGTCCTCAAAAAAATAAGGGCCTACGATGCCATGCGCTGAGATAGCAGCCCAAACTGTAACTTTAGGGCTGTGTAAGGGCTTCTGATGCTTACGCCTTGGATTTTCGGGGCTCCAATAACGGCAATTTTGTTTATTTACATGCCCGTTTAAATGGAAGTGAGCCTCGTCCGAGAACAACACATTATTGAGCGAAGAAAATCGATTCAACATTTCATTCGCAAAGTTTAGTCTCTGAATAGCGTCATTATCTTTTAATTCCTGCACTAACTGAATTTTGTAAGCGTGCAGACGTAAATCTTTCCTTAAAATCCGCTGTAAAGATGTTCTGGGTACGTTTAGTGCACTGGAACACTTACGAGTAGACTGGGTAGGATTTTGACGAACAGACTGTGCCACAATGTTGATGTTTTCTTCAATACGAGTTGTCCTTGGTCGACCCCTGTTTATCTAACGTCGAACCAGTCTCTTCGAACTTAGCAACCCAGTTCTTAATCGTTTGAGGTGTTGGACGCTTTGTAAAATTGTGTAAATTGTGGTATTCTCGATATTTACGCCGCGCAATGGTTGCCGAATCATTATTTTGATAAAACGCGCGCACACAAAAAGCACGATCCGCTCCAGTGAAACACTCCATGGCGACTGAATTCCCAGACACTGAAGATACTGCCCCCACCTCGCCCGCGCCGCTCACGCTCACCCGTTAAATTTTATTCAAATTTGAAATTTCAAAGGACTTATGGACCACCCTGTATAATATAAGGTAAATCAAACAACACTGCTGAGTGTAAGAGAATCTTGGAGTCATCTTTGACACAACTTTCAGCTTCAATCCGCATATAATAATCTTCTAAATTCTGTAAATAAAAGTCTGGGTTTTGTGTTGTGCAACTCTCGTTATTTTGATAGCATAAAGGCTCTTCTCATGTTGTACAAAGCATTTGTGATGTCAAAACTTGAATACGCTAAACTTATTTAGTATCCCTGATATGCGACGACTTGTAACTCGTTATAAAAGATACGAGGTAGGT